AGAATATGGTGGTAGGCAGAATCATGGCCCTCACAGGCGTCCATGTTCTCATCCTGGAACCCGTGAATATGACACCTTATTTAGTAAAAGTGATCTTGCAGATGTGATTAAGTTAAAAGTCTGGAGATGAGTGGATTCTCCTGGATGAGTGGATTATGTGGGTGGGCCCAATGTAGTTACAAGTGCCCCTATACTTGGGAGGTTAGAGGTCAGGGCTAGAGTTGGAGACATGATGAAGGACACGGGTTACACTGATGTAATGCCGACTTTGAAGATGGAAGACAGCCCCTAGCCAAGGAATACAGACCTCTAGAACCTGGAAAAAGCAAAGAGCAGGTTCCCCTTAGCACCTCCAGAAGGATCTCAGCTTAAAGGACACATTTATTGTAGCCAGGGAGACTTCCAACTTCTAGATATGATCATGAATTTTCCAGTTCTAAGTCATGAAGTTTGTGATAATTTGGTACAGGGGCAATAACAAGTTAATTCAGATTATAATGGCTTTCCAATTTTGTTAGACCCATGGTACTACAGCATCCTTTTATTGGTGGGCCATAACCTTGCCCACATCTTTGTAAATAACTACTTCCTTAATTCTTCTTCACTTATGCTTTTGAGAGTACCATCTGATTTCTGCAGGGACTCTGTTAAATGCTTGTAGTTTTTATTCAGCAACTCCACTTTTAGAGATTTGTTCTATGGAAAAAGTGGGAAATATACATGGTGCCTGAGATATGTACAAATATTCATTATAGCATTATTTATGACAACAAAAATAAGAAATAATGCCAAATTTTAGAATAGGGACTGCTAAATGAATTATGGTAGAACTGTATGATATAATAAGAGAATGCCAGAAAATATTTATGTCAATATGTACATCTACAGATGGATGCATAATTGTTTGAAAAATCAGGCTACCAAACAGATCTATGTCTATATCTATACCTACACCTCTATTTTTCTATCTATTATCTATCTACCTATCTATCTATCTATCTATCTATCTATCATCATTTATCTGTTTAAATATACAGAAAAAGAAATAAATAAAAGGGAAAAAAAAGGTAAATGATGCTTTTAGTGGTTAACTCCAGCTAGTGGATGAAGGATAATATTTTTTTTCTTTGTGCTTTTTCATACTTCTAAAATTTTCTGCAAGGTTTACATTAATAGTCATAAAGTTTTAAAGTTGTAATGGGACCTCTTTATATATGGTGGATTTCTTTGTATAACAAAACAATTTTTTCTGGTTTCACCCACAGTTAGAATGATGATTTTTTTCTACCTATGACTATTTTCATTCAGCTCCATTATAGGTGTTTTCTTATCTGACTCCTCTATCATATTATGGACTTTTTGGAGCAGAGAATACCCTAAAATATATTTTTTCCTACATTTATGGTGTCCTATGTGAGACTTCCAATATGTATTTACAGAAAACTTTACTGCTGAATTGAATTTATAGGTACTTAATCAAAACTTCTTTGATGAGAGACTTATTTCCAGACGCATAAAAAATAAGTAACAGAAAAAAGAAAACAACTTATGAGGCAAATTTATAAAGCAAGCAGATAGACAGAAGATAAACAAGCTGATTTAATGTGCAAATGGATAGTGAATTATTTATATCATATTCTTGTACAGAATTGTTCTTCTAAAATTTGTTTACTAAGAGGATTGGATGAATGTAAGTACTTAGTGGAAGTAAGCATTAAGCTACTCAAAAATTACATCAAGTGCTGGAAGAGATAAAAGAAAATAACCTATTGTATTTTATTCAATTGGGAAAGGTTTCATGGACCAGTAGAATCTTTAATTAGTAGTGACTGTTCAGTGCATTGAGCAGAAACAGACATTCTAAGAATATGGCACCCTTGTGGCTAAGACTCAAGGAGAAGAGAGGACAAATGAGTGAAGATAGCTGCGTGAAGATATGACAGATTTCAGGAGAGTCTGAGTGTTAGGTAGTAATAACATCATACCATAATAAACATAGAGTGCTAGAATTAAAATACATCAAAAAAAGAGGGACCAAGCATCCTCTTTTACATATGAGACCCTGCGTCTCCCAATATAGAGGTATTAAGGAAAACCCCAGATATGACTTGAATTCTCTATCCCCGGCCCAGTGGCATTGTTTTTTTGTTTGTTTGGTTTTGGGTTTTTTTTTTTTTTTATGGGAAGAGTCCTCGATAATGATTGAGAACCCTCACATTCACTTCATTAAGGATTTTGTAAACTTAGCTACAGAATAATTTATTGGTTTAGTTATATTCTAAAAAAATACTATATTAAAATGGAACTACACATTTATTGATAATGTTACTTATGTTTATTTATTTAGCAATCCAGTTAGGCGCATATATATATATATATATATATATATATATATAT